GGTGGGAATGCCAAATATTGGTATCAGTTCACGTGGCACTTTTTTGGGGCACCATTATTAGCACTGTTTTGTTTTTTAATAACTGGAAGCACTTAATGATTATTTTGTTAGTCTAATTCCAAGTTATGGATGTTAAGAGTCAGGGAATTAAAGTTTATTTCTCATTTATGTTTTCTGGAACTTAAGACTGTTTGGAGAAGGGGTGAATGGATTACCATTCTTCTAGGCTCTGTAGGTGTGCTCTTTGGCCTAGGACGTTTTAAATAACTTACAAGCTTTTAATATTCTGCTTGCTAGAAATGTATGGCTTTTGATGATTTGCAGTTGGTAGATAAGTTGCTTTTCTGTTTAATCATGGTTGTTTACTGTCTGTTATGTAGGGGATGCAGTTCCGTTTAAGACATTTCATATTTTTTGTTTCTGAGGGCTGTAGTACCAGTGGCCTTTGTATGTATATTATATTCATTGCTTATGTGGTGAAGTAGCATATCTGATGAACGTCCCTGCTCCGTATCAGTGAAACTAAGATGCAGATAGAAATCAATACAATTCATGTTTTATTGCTTAAGGCCTGTTTATTCCATTTGGCCATTCAATTGTCTCTAATTATAGTCATATCTGTCTTCACTTTTGTCTTCTGGCAGTTTCGTTTATCTTTGTGGGTAGGGAAGGTTATATATGAAACTCAATCCAGTCATTTTGCTACCGGTTAGCTTTGGTTTGAGGCAATAAATGTTACTAAAATTAGTTTTTTAAAATTATGTCCTTTAGTCACCCAGTAATCAAGTTGGCTAAAAATAAAGTGTTTAACTTTGTATTTTGAAGAACAGTTTTTAAATGAGCTCTACTGGGTCTTCAGTGTTGCCATCACTTGAGAATTAAATGGTGTTAAATAATAAACTTTTAACTTCCATTCACCCAATCTGTAATTCAGAAGGAAAACCTGTTATGGCATTAACACAGAAGAGATGTGTTTTTCTATGTCAGTGTCTTAGTTTTAGGGCGTGTGGTAATATCTTGTCAGGGAGCTTTCCTTAAACCTGGATCAACTCAACTGAGACAACCGTTACTTCATTCGTTACTTACCCTCTCATTTATTTTCTTGAAATCTGTCCCTCATAATACCCAGCATCCACCACTCTTGTATAAATAGAATACTTATCTATGAAGTACAAGTGTCATTAGGAACTTGTTTTAATTTCGGTGTAATTTATATTAGGGAGACTTGCAAAGTATTAAATCTTTTTCCTTAAAAAAAAAAGGGCAATTAAAATGATGGCAACTGCTAACATTTACTAAAATCATTCATTTTGATGTGAGTGAGAGAAACTGCCCTCTCCCCAGCTAACCTGTGGGAAACAAAGGATGTTGTTTTAAGTCTTGAGTTGTATTTGTTTACGACGGAGAAACAGGACCCCAAGTTTAGGTGGGTGAGGGGGAGGATGCGCCAGCACTTTGAATCCACTGCTTTTCAAAGAAAAAAGGTGTGGTTGAGACCCAGTGGGTCTTCAGACATTGCTCTGAATAACTAGTCAGATTAATTTTTTTCTATCACTTCAAGTTCTATGCAAAAATTTGTTAAATTCTGTAATGATAAGCATTTTATTAGAAAGATGACATTAAAAAACTATTTTATATAAGGACAGGCATTTGCTTTGTATAATGAAATGGCTAACTGGCTTTAAGCACTGTATCAAATTTACTACAGTCCAAAATTATATAGATATGTTAATAGATGCAACTAGATATGGACAATTGTATTTTTTTAAGTAAATATTTTTAACAAAATGGCTTTCTGAATTGATTATTCATTTCCCTCCTCTCACATCTATGTCCTAGACACCATCTCCTATGCAGTTTATTGCAATTGTAACCTTGCCTGTGTCCACAAATTCATTCTTGCCCCTCACCTGCTCACAACTCTCCTAATAACTCACATAACTAAAAAAAAAAAAAAAATCTATCCTCCTAACACGGCTTCTATGATCTGGCCCTCGCTTCCACTCTCACTTCCTGCCCCTCTTCTCCTCCCTCGTGCATGGAGCACACGGCCTCTCGCCAGCACTCACCGCGCAAGCACTTGCAGCCTCAGGCCCTGGCACTTGTGTGTCCCCTGCCTGGTGCAGTCTCTCCTGGCTACTTGGATGGCTTGCTCCTTTCTATCACTCAGGTTTCTGCACCAACGGCACCTCCTTAGAAAGGCCTTCCAGACCATCGCGTGACATTCCCTCTCCCACCCCTGTCCCTACTTTGCTCTTCTCTGTGGCCCTCCGTTATCACGCATCCTGTGGCACCTTATCTCTGTTCACCGTCTGTATGTCTTCAGCTGCAGCGTAATCTCTGGGAGGCAGGGACTGGCATCTCATTTTCTGCTCTATCTTTGCACATAGATCAGTGCCTTGAGCATAGTAGGTGCTCAAGAAATCCTTTTGAATGAATAAGTGAATTCTCTCCAGCACCTGTCACGATACCTCCTCCCGTTAGTGAACCTGGCGCACTGATGCTGGGTCGCGTCCCCGCGTCTAGTAGCAGAGGGAAATCCGGAAACGGCAAGTCCACAGCAGCCTGGAACCTCCGAACTCTTAAAAAGAAGATCAGAAAACTGAGTGTGCAGCCTGGTATCAGCACCCACCCGCCTCTCCTTATCCGGACTGTGTGTGAGAGGGAGTCGTGGTTCTCAGGCCTGTGTGGTAAGATCTTGTTTCTTCTAAAACATTAGCCGTGCGAACTCACACTGCGATAAAGACCTGTTTCTGGGGTTATAGAAAAGGATCAATTGCCCTTGATAATAGATAACACACTCATTCCATTTAAAATGTTTTATTTTAGAAAAGGCAGTCTTAAATTTGTTTCAATCTTGTTTTCTATAGTCACAAATTAATCTTGGTCATCGTAGATATAGCCACGGATTCTTCTTTCTAACTCTGTATAAAAAGGATGTTTTCTTGAAAAAAGCCACAAGAAAAATACAGCTGTTTTCTTTTTGCCCCAGTTAGTCATTCCCTACCGTTAGGTTACCCATTTAAGTTTGGCTGGCATGGAATACTTTTAAGTGTTTACAGACATAGTTAAAACTATACCCCTAGCCCGCCAACTTCCAAAAGAATTTGGATCTGTTTGACTTACCATGAACATACAACAAACATACGAACAATTTCTGAGCTGCTTATGAGGAGGTTTTATAAGCAGTTTCTGTCAGGCATGTGAATAATTACACACATTCACCAAATTTTTTCAGGATTCCTTTGAGGTAGGGTAATTCCTTCTAGAAATGTCACTTTACAGATGAAAACAGCGAAGCCAGAAGAGCCTCCGTGACGTCCCTGCCCAGGGCCACAGCGAGGAGCGCCGTGCGGGGTCTCCGCGGGCGGATGCGAGCGCCACTCCATGCTGCTGGCTGCGCACAGACGCTTTTCACGTCGGGCATGCGAACCGCGTTCCTGGACAGGCTACTGAGAACCAGGAGCCACTTACGTTTTATACGTGTACACGTGTGTACAGACAGACAGAGCAGGTGAACTAAACACAGTCACTGTGACAGCCACCTCCCGACTTACAGTCTCAGGGCTCACCCCTTTCCAGGTCGCCGAGCGTGTAGCGCTATGGGACTTGCTCTGGACGGGCGGGCACGGCTTTCAGGATACTGCGCAGTTTGAATGGCTCAGAAGTCCCATTTTTGTCCAAGAACTTGACATTGGTACACAGGCATACCTCATGTAATTGTGATTTGTTTTATTGTGTTGCCCCCTTTTTTTTTTTTTTTAAACAAATTGAAGGCGAGAGCCTCCACCAGCAAAAAGATTGCAGCTCACTTTACTGTGACACTCGCTTTATTGCGAAGGTCTAGAACTGAACCCGCCATATCCCTGAGGTATGCCTGTAAAGAGTTGTTTTCTCTATAGAAGTAAAGTTTAAATGAGATGTTTTTGAGAAATTCTTAGAGCCGTTTCTCCACCTTTTATAAGCTAGTCAATGTCAGTAAAGAAAAACAGAACATCCATCTCATTCTCTCAGGCAACTTCTGGACCAGTTCACACTGATTACTAACAGTGGTGCGCTGGCAGATGTTTAACACCTGCACCTCCAGGGGAGAAAAGCCAGGCTTTGTAGCTTTTGCCGATTTCTGTGGTGTAAAGACTCCCACTCTGGCTGACCTCGAGTCAACAACACCTTATCACTGAAAGTGATAGTATTTCTACAATACAGACACAACAGTCATCAGTTCCTCCAAGAGCACAGACAGAGCAAAATCAGGTGATGAGTTTTGAGTAGGCATTACCTTTGTCTTTAATGTAATTTAATTGTAAGTTTCTATCATTTAAATATTAATAATGGCCGCATTTAACAAACGGCTCTCAAAATGAAAGTTAACGATCAGCCTTTTTTTTTTCTTATAAACTGGTAGGAGCTAGCCCAGCATACCGCTGAATTAGTGTCCCGAAGAAAGCAAGCTTCAGCGTTTCCTTTTGCTGTTTTAGATCATGGATGAGCTACTGATACCAGCAGCAGGACTCTGAGGGACTCTGGACTATGAGTAAGGAAAAAGCACAGAAATCTTGTGAGCGTGCCGCGGAGTTACGTGGGGTTTGTTCTGATTAACTTAGAGCAGATCTACATAGAACAATGATCATCAAGCTTTGATTTCAGCCTGTATTTTCAAAATCACCTAAGAGGGATCTTCAAACCTGGGGTGCGGCCCATGCAGGAGGCGGCCAGTAGAGTGAAGTGGGAGTCTCCTCCTGCTCCCCAGCGGCATCCTGGGCAGCTCTGACCAAGTCCCCCCAGGGAGGAGGGAAGTCGCTGGACTAGCCGAGTAAAATCCTAATGATTTGCCCAGGGAGGACCCAGGTACCAGAACGCGATTTCATTCCTTCTATGCCAGGATTTAGTGGAGAAGGCCTGACCCGAGGCGCCGGGGGACCGATGGCCTCCGCGTTCGGCCAGCTTTCTTCCACGCTTTGGTCTCCACTGGTGCTCGAGAGGCCGATGTATTCGCCTGCCTCCGTCCCCCACTTCTACCTCTGGTAGCATTCGGAGCCTTCCGTCCCGCACGGTCTGTCCTGGGGAGGAGCTGCAACAACAACAGTAAAAACCAGGCAGCACGTCTCAGCTTTAGCCAGCGCTGGTTCTGAGCTCCCCCGCCTTGCTTCTCTGCCGCCCGTGGCTCCTTAGAGAGCCAGGTGACAGGTTAGACCTGCTGGTTCTGGCAGCTGTTGGTGGAGGCAGTTTGTTGAGACTAGTGTCTGGGGCTGAGGGAATGTGTGTTTCTTTTTGTCTGCCTTGATTAGGGAATTTGTTCAATGTCACTCGTTTGACATTCAGCAAACACTTCTTGAACGTGTGGCCTAAAGGGAGGCTCTGTGCTGAGTGCTGGACTAGACGGCTGCTGGTACCGGCTCCCTATCAACTGTGGTTAGAGCTGATTGGGGACCCCCCCCCGATACATGAAATATTAAAAAATAAGAGTAACAAAATACCAGTCTTCTGGGCTTCTGCACTGATTGCTCAAAGCGGGCATGTGTCCACTGCCGAGGGAGGGCTGTGGCTGCCTGTCCCTCCAGACTTTGCTTTTCATGGGGAGGACGAGGGCTCTGCCTGGGCACCTTCCCTTAGGGCAGTGGTTCTCCACCTTCTGGCCCTTTAATTAAATACAGTTCCTCATGTTGTGGCCCAACCATAACATTATTTTCCTGGCTACTTCCTAACTGTCATGTTGCTACTGTTATGAATCGTCATGTAAATATCTGATGTGCAGGATGGCCTTAGGTGACCCCTGTGAAAGGGTCGTTCGACCACCAAAGGGGTCGCGACCCACAGGTTGAGAACCGCTGCCTTAGGGCCTGGCCACATGCCCGGCTGCAGCAGTTGTGGGGACGGTGAGAGGTCTGGGCGGAAAGGCCGGGGAGGGCGCGGGCAATGAAAATAGCTGTGGGACTCCCCCAGCCTGGGCTCTGCAGCAGCGAGACTGTGAGGTGTGCCTCTGTCCTAAAGGAGCTTTTCTTGGCCACTTGGCCCGAGGACTTCTTTTTGACAAAAAGATCTGGACTCGAGTCAGAATCCTAAACTGCAGAGAGAGGGCCAACTGGGCTGTTGGGCTGAGTTCCAGCCAAGGAGGCCGGCCCTGCCGCTCAGGCCCCCACTCAGGCCCCCGCACAGGCCGGGAGAGTCCTGGCCCGCGGTCCCGAGGCCCGTGGGATGCAGGAAGCCAAGTTCAAGTCCGTGCCCCTCTCCCAGTAGAGAAACCATGAGCCAGCCCCTCATTGCTCGCAGCGCAGACAATCGCCTGGCAAAGCAGGAAGAGGGAAGGAAGCTGTGGAAAAGTAAACATTTCCTTGCATTTTTCTTGGACCAGAACAGCCCTGGTGGCGTGCTGAGGTCCAGGGCATCTCCCCCGTCCTCCCCCGCCCTGCTTTCCTCCCCGGGTGCAGAAACGGCTCCCTTCCTTACCTGATGAGGGTCCAGGGTGCATCCTGTGGAAAAACAGGAGCAAGATGTAGAAGGTGAAAGCCAAGCAGGCAAAGATCACACCACAGACCAGGAAGCTGTAGCTGCCCCGAGCCTGGAACACCTGCCAGAGAGGAAACACAGAGACGGGGCCATGAGAACCTCACACGATGCTGTATGGGCGGAAGCGGCCTGCTCGGGCCCCAGGCGGGTTCTCCAGCCAAGCCGAGGACGGTCACCGACAGACAGGAACGTGGGCAGCAGGAACGCGTTGGCCTCATTTCAAGGTCGTGTTTCTGGAGGCAACAGAAATCGGGGCTGGGCCCGGGGGCCCCGGCCGTCCCTTTCAGCCCTGTGCCTGGAACCTTCTGAAAAACGTCCCTGTCTTCCTTAAAACTCCAGTCATACTAGCTGTTCCTCTCCCCACGAGGCCTGACCAGAGCTTTGCAGATACGCAGGTACGCAGATACACACACACACACACACACACACACTCACACACGTGTCAAAATTGCATATGGAACGCCCATGGACCCACCACCAACTTCAATTAGCAACAGTTTCCTCCGTAGCCTCCCCGAGACCACACTGAAGCCCATCCAAGCCCCCTCGTCTGCACGCAGAGGGCCCTGGACGATGCAGCCATCCCCGCCTGGCAGGCCAGAGCAGAGGGCAGGGGAGCAGTGAGGAGGGACTTTGGAGACGGAAAGACCTGGGTTGGAAGTCATCCCAACAGTCACTAGAAGTGTGATGACTGAGGCGAGCTGCTTAGTTGATCTGGGCTACAGTATCCTCCGCCGCAGAAAGGGGGTGACTGTCTACACTCGTCTTCGGTAAAAAGCAGACTTGCTTCCCCTGGTGAACACATGCCCGGTGGGTGTGGGACGAGAACTGAGAGCCAGGGCAGGGCCCTCCGTAGGTGGCCAGAGGCCCCGAGAGGCAGGCTGAGGGAGTGGCCGGTTGAGAAGCGACAGACAAAGAACTCTGCAGCGCAGTCCACCCCAGGCCCGGGCTAACCATTCCCACGGGGCCCCCTGGCCCTGCTCCCAGACATGACTGTGTTTGCCTTGGCCTCGCGCATCCCTTCCCAGCCCCAGGCTCCCCATTCGGAGGCTCAGCTTCCAGGGAGGCAGGTAACTCCGAGTGGGCCCGCTTGCCTTCCCACCTGCTTGAAGGAGCCCACCCCAAGCGCTCCTCCCCCCGCCTCCCGAGTTTTCCACTTACCCAGCCAACCAGCATCTGGAGGGACATCTCGCCAAGCCCTGCCCCTGTCACCAGCACCGTGGTTGCACAGCCTACCCAAAAGAGAAGGGTTCGGTTTAGTGAGAACGAGTTCGGAGACAGGCAGCCGGCGTGTTCCGGGTTATTCTGGGCGGTGTCCGGGACGCAGCATGGCTGCCAGGAGGACTCCTTGCCATTCCTAAGGCTTCTCAGCCTTTAGCTTTTTTTTTTTTTTTTAAATAGGTTTTTATTCTCTTGGGAAATTCCCAAAGGGAAATTAGCCCTGGATACCTTGAGGGTATAACTCTGTATCTCCTAACTGGCACTATCCTACCCGGTGACCTTGTGGCTTGGCTGGCCTGTGCCCACCGAGCTCAGCACACATTACACTTTGGGACTATGAGGCCCAGGTCATCTGTGTTGGTGACACACTGTGACAGCTTCAGGTGGCTCTGTCTGTACGTGCACCCCTCCCTGTGATCTGTGGGAAAACTGAAACCAAGCCCACACTTTAGAGAGAGAACATCAATGATGAGAATCATTGATTGGTTGCCTCCTGCACGTCCCCGACTGGGGATCAAGCCCGCAACCCAGGCATGTGCCCTTGACCAGAATGGAACCTGGAACCCTTCAGCCCGCAGGCTGATGCTCTATCCACTGAGCAACACCAGCCAGGGCCAGACTTGAGCTCTTCCTGGGCTTTGGGGATGCTCAGGTCCTGCCGTCATTACAACCCTTCCTGTTCTGAGACCTTCAACGGTTCACCCTTGTCTCCTTGGTGAATGAATTCCAAGGGGCTTAGCCTGGCATTCAGGGCCCTTCCCAACGTGCCCGCCCCCACCTTTCCTACAGACCTCCTGACCCCAGGCCACCTCCACTCTGGGTAGAACGGTGTCCTGACGCCCTGGCACTGCCCCAACCAGCACCGCTCACCAGTCTGCCACCGACTTTCAGAGCCCACACTTCAGAGTCACGCCCCGCATGTCCCCTGCAGCTCTGTGACCTGAGGCAAGTTCTCTCCCTTTTCTGGGCCTCGGTTTCCTTCTGTGAAATGGGCTGCTGTGTGGGTCACCCTGGTGCGAGGCATGGAGTGCTTAGCACAGCCCTGGACACGCAAACCCCTGAAGCCAGGCCAGCTCCCTGCTGAAACCCTCCAGCACTGCCTCAGGGTCAAGTCTGAAAGCCCGGCCGGGGGTGCCAGGGCCCTTTCTAACCTGTGCCTGTCTCAGACTCAGCTCACACTCCCGGCTGGCAGGCTGCCCTGCAGCCAGGAGAGCCGGCAGCTCCGCACCTGCGCACCCACACTCACCCCTGGTCCCACACTTGCATCATCTCCCCCTCCTCCTCCTCCTCCTCAGCTTCCAGTCCTGCTTGGATTTCCTTCTGTTCTCTCCCATCCCTCAACCTGGTTAGCTGCTCCTCTGTGCGCCCTCAGCCCCCTCATCCGTCTCATGCCCCCCACCCCTGGCTGTCTGCTGGGCAGCCTCGCCCACCGGGGTTAAGCCCCTGAGAGGACGGGCCTTGGCTGTTAGTGCAGTGCATACATCACTGCTTATCATCGCACAGTGGCCCACGGACGGATGGACGGTAGACACTGTTTTTTGAATCAAGCAGATCATTTCCTCCCTGTCTCTGCACCTCTGCTCTCACACTGGCCACTGCCCCGCCCCGCCCTTCCCCGGATGCCTTTCCTTTTTCCTTCTGCCTTTCCGAATTCCGGGCCAGCTCATGTCCCATCTCTTCCATGAAGCTACCTCTAGATTTAACACTGGTCACTCGCTTCTCTGAATCCCATTGGCACCCACTGTCTGTTTCACTCATTCAAAAACCTTCCAGCACCTTCTGAGCATCAAGTACTGTGATAAACACTGATGAATAATTAGCGTTAACATATATACATACATATATATTGGGCACCTGGGAGCCAGTTAAGCGGCTGAGTCAAGAGCTTTACATTTCCTCTAACGCACAAAACCTCACAGGGAAGTATTGGCATCCCCCCTTTTCAGATGAGAAAACTGAGGCTCGGAGAGGGGAAAGAAATCGAATCACACCAGGCCACAAAGCCAGAGAGAGGCAGGCTGGACAGATACTCGGGTCTGCTGATGACCTCACAGCCCTCGCCCCGGCCCTTGTCCCTTGCTGGTGCCCACGGGGAGTGTGTTGTCAAGGAGAAGATGCAGATAACTAGGTACAAAAGCCTTGAGGGGATCAAACATGAGAAGCAGGGACAGAGGAGGGGGTATCTTTTCAGTGGGGATCAGGGAAGCTTCCTGGAGGGACGGTGTCAAAGGCTTTCCATGCTGAGGATTCATGTGCCATCGGGAGGAGCCAGCCAGAATGCCAGCGCTGAGGGGGAGCAGGGTGGGAGAAGGCCGGGGGAAGGAAGAGCCCCATGGGAGGACAGGAAGGCCGGGGCCAGCTGTGGAGGCAGCCCCCTGAGGCAGTGCCAGGGACGGGACAGCTGTGTGAATGAGTGGCCCTCGCCCTGGTTCCCTGTTAGAATCACCCGGCAGCTCCCAACCAGTGACATCAGACTTGGTGGTGGGGCACAAGCCCAGGTGCTGGGTTTTGTAACGAGCCCTCCAGGTGATTCTCATGGGGAACCAGCACTGAACCTCTGATGGGGGCAAAGGTGAAGGCAAGGAGACAAGCCAAGACCTGCCAAGGCAGCGAAGGAGGTGATCAGACACCGGGAAAGCTGGGGGCTGTTAGAGTCCTAGCAGGTAAGTGACGGAGCCCGAGCTAAGGCAGGGTGGGAGAGATGACGAGAAGACGGGTCTGAGTGAGCATTTGCAGGCAGAACCCACCACTATCACTCGCTGTTACTCCTGTTAAACGCTAACGTTTGTTGGTCACTTAAAACTGGGATCTAGTGTGACATACATCACCAGTATCTCCCGACTTCATTTACTCACCTGAGGCTTGGGGATTATCCTTAGATTTCAAGGACTCGGTCTCCTGTCTCATTGCTATGGGACGGAGCTGGGTGCAGCTACAATTTCTCTGACACCCCCCTCTCCCCCCGCCATCACCTCCCCAATAACCAATTTCCCCCCTTCCTCCTCTAAAGAAACCACCCATCTTTAATGCTGCTTTTCTGACACTCTAGGTCAGTGATGGCGAACCTATGACACGCATGTCAGAGGTGACATGCAAACTCATTTTTTTGGTTGATTTTTCTTTGTTAAATGGCATTTAAATATATAAAATAAATATCAAAAATATAAGTCATTGTTTTACTATGGTTGCAAATATCAAAAAATTTCTATGTGTGACACGGCACCAAAGTTAAGTTAGGGTTTTTCAAAATGCTGACACGCCGAGCTCAAAAGGTTTGCCATCATTGATAACTGTAATGTTGCTACTGTTATGAATCCTAATGAAATATCTGATATGCAGGATGGTCTTAGGCGACCCCTGTGAAAGGGTCGTTCGACTGCCAAAGGGGTTGCGACCCACAGGTTGAGAACCACTGGTCTAGGGCATCTCCAGTTACTTCTAAAGCAGTGGTCGCCAACCTTTCAGACCTCATGGACCACCAGTGGCCCGCGGACCACCGGTTGGCGACCGCTGTTCTAAAGGCAACGTTAACTGTTTGAAACACAAATATTTTCAATGAACTCGTTTTACAAAAGATTTTTGCCACCTGCATTTGAGAGGCTGCAGAAAGAGAAGGAAACTAGGGAAGAGAATTCGAGGTTTCTGATATCAAAGAAGCAGCGTCACAACCACAGCAGCTGTGAGTGCTGGCTCCAAGCCTCTGAGTGTGGGGCCTGTGTGTGGGGCCACTGTGACTGCTGGCGTGTAAAGCCCCTCTCCTAGGCTGTGACTCTGTGCTACTTGGAATGCCCACGCATGTCACACAACACGCCAACTGTGGGTCAGCGGAGATCACACACTGAGAGATCCTGTTGAAGTGGGAGCCACCTGGATCAGAACCTGTTCCCACCGGCCCGGAGCCTCGCAGGACGGGGAGGGCGGGAAGCTGCGCCGGCCAGAGGGAGCACTCACCCTTGTACTGCAGGATGTCCTCCGTGTGGGCCAGCATGCTGGGGAAGGTGCTGCTGAGGAACAGGCCCAGGCAGGCGGTGCCCGCGAACAGGAAGATGACGTTGTAGGAGAAGGCGAGAAGCACCAGGTGTGTCACCACCGCGCCGACCTGTCACGGCGGTGACGGAGGCGGTTAGAAACGGAAACGCTGCGTGTCCGTCAGAGAGAAAAACCCGCAGGAGTCGGTCTCCTGACCTGGACACTCAGGCGCGAGGAACAGCGCTGTGACCAGTGTGCCACCCTGTGGAAGAGGTGGGGACTGCACCTTCCACAGTCCTGGCTGCCAACCCAGCCCAGGGAACGTGACGGGTGGGAGAAGGTGCACCCACCCCCCCAGCCATCGGCAACAACTGGCCCACCACACACACTCAGCAAGTGCTTGGTGAGGGGTCCTGACTGCCCCCAAGGCCCTGGCTGTAAGCACAGGGAGCTCCATCCAAGTCATTAGCTCCGTGCCCGCTGCTAGAGGCGGGGTCCTCCACTCCCCACGAAGAGGAACTGCTTCTTCCTTAAAGGCCCGGAGCTCACGGAGGAAGGCCCGGTAGCAGGAGAGTGGTGGTGGCTGCAGGGTCCCCCAGCATCCAGGAATCCTGACAGGGCTCCCAGAGGGCCAGCGGCTGTGGCAGGCCACCGTGGCTCCCCCGAGATTCGGCTCGGACCCCACCGGCAGATGGTAGCCCCTGCGATGCGCCAGGGGACCAGCAATCTTCCTAGTTCAGTCAGGGGACTGCCCCATGGGAATGTTTTTGGTAAAACAACCCTTTAAAATTTCTTTTAAAAATTGTGTTTGTCGCCCTGGCTGGTTTGGTTCAGTGGATAGAGCGTCGGCCTGTCGACTGAAGGGTCCCAAGTTCCATTCCGGTCAAGGGCACATGCCTGGGTTGCGGGCTCGATCCCCAGTGTGGGCCATGCAGGAGGCAGCCAATCAATGATTCTCTCTCACCATTGATGTTTCTATTTCTCTCCCCTCCTCCCTTCCTCTCTGAAATCAATAAGAATATATTTAAAAAAATAAAAAATGTGTTTGTCAATATCGACTAATTTCTATACAAAGTGCATCTGGGCCCAGCTGGTGTGGCTCAGTGGTTGAGCATCAGCCCAGGCACCAGGAGGTCACCGGCTGGGTTCTGGGTCAGGGCACGTGCCTGGATTGGGGGTTCAAGGTCGGGGTAGAGGGATGGGTGTGAGTCCAGGCACAGAGGTATTTGTGGAGCTGGATGATGAGAAATTTATTTCTGGAAGGTCATAAACCAGGACAAGGCAAATCCAAAACCTTTCTTGGGACTCATCGTGTTTGGTCTGTGTAGCCCCAACAGTGTTTCCCAACCCTCTCTCTGCTAGAAACTCAACCCAGGGCAGGACTTTCTGACAACAGATGGGGCTACGTGGGCAGGGAGTGAGTTCCCAGTCCCTGGGGGTTTGAACAGACCGTCTGCCCCTCCTCTGCACAGGGCTGTTATGGAGGTAAGTCCAGCCCTTCCAGGAGGTTGGGTGGAGACCTTTCTGGAATCTGGAATCCGGACCCTTGGTCATAGGTGGTGCCAGAGATACATTTCAGGGTGAAAGCTAAGACCCATCACTCAAGCCCTGACCTCCCGCCTCCTGGGCAGACCAGTTCCTGGAAGGCAGCCCACATGCCAGCCTGGCTACTAGAGAACCACCTGGGAGAGTTTCAAAATGCAAATGCCAGGTTCCAGCCCAGAGAGGGTGATTCTGAAGGCCCGGGGTCCCCTGGCGTCCACTGGTCACAAGGCTCTGCCAGCTGGGCACCAAGGTGGACACGGAGGACCAACACCAGAACCCGCTTCCCTCGCATGCAGGTTGTCAGCTGGGACCCACCCATACACCACAGGAAGCGCCTCCTTCCCTGTCGGAGTACAGATGGGGGAGGGCAGGGGGAGGAAGGGTAGGCTCCACCTCCTGGATCTCCAGCCTTCTTCACCAGCATCTCCCCCTCCCTCTAGCCGACGTCGCACCCCCTTGGCAGAGTTCAGTCCTGAGCAAAGGCCTGGGGCGGTGGCAGGGCCAGGAGCGAATGCTTCTCCTGAGGCTCCAGGAAGTGCGAGGAGGCCACTCACCACATTGATGAAAACCATGGTGGCCGGCCTCACGCGGGAGGAGACGGGGATGGAGACGAGCTGACCCAAGGTGATGAAGCCCCAGAAGAGGCTGGGGAGGTAGCCAGCCGTCCTGTGTCCCATCGACATGGGCTTCTCCACGGCATAGCTGTACACGAAGGTGGAATACGCACCCTGTGGAGACAGGCCCACTGAGCACACCCGCAGCGCGGCCGGACCAGACCCCTGGGAGAGGATGTCCTGGCCGGCAGGTGTGGGAGGACCCTCCTGCTCCACGAAGGGTGGGTGTGGGGCCAAGATCACACCGTGCACACAGCCCTGAGCCGAGGACAGACCCCAGGCGCCACCGCTCCCAACTGCACCTGCGCTGGCCTCTGGGTCCCGGGAGGTGCGGGAGCTCCGTGGCCCCTCACCAGATCCGGGTCCCACTACGTGTCTTATTTGTCCTGATTCCACAGAAAGCTTTTTGGTGAAGGACATTTGCTAAGGAGTGTGTACCAGCATCTCATTTTACAGATGAGAGGGTGGGGGAGCGACTTGCCCGAGGTCACCCTGGGAGTTGGAAGTCAACCAGCGCCGGCCGACACGAGCACCTCCTGCCAGGTCGCCAAGGGTGCGGGCTTTCTCTCTGGAGAGCCCCTCACGTGGCCATCAGTGAGTCGGCCATTCACACCGTCCTAATCTAACCCTTAGAGAGTTCTAGAAAAAGGCATTACGCAGAGTGACAGAGGTCACCAGCAGACTGAACTGCTGGGCCCTCATATCTGGGGCTGGTTTGTGCGACCTGGCGAAGGAACCCAGGTGCGGGATGTAGTCCAGGGAGCAGAGTGCCCCTGAGTTCACCTGGCATGACCTCTGCTTGGCGGAACAGGGCTCTGCCCCTTTAAAAAACTCGGGGTGGGCCCTGGCCGGTTTGGCTCAGTGGCTAGAGCGTCGGCCTGCAGACTCAAGGGTCCCAGGTTCGATGCCAGTCAAGGGCATGTACCTTGGTTGTGGGCACATCCCCAGTGGGGAGTATGCAGGAGGCAGCTGATCGATGTTTCTCTCTCATCGATGTTTCTAACTCTCTATACCTCTCCCTTCCTCTCTGTAAAAAACCAATAAAATATATTTAAAAAAAAAAACACAAAAAACTCGGGGTGGCCTGCACTGCACACCCAACCCATAGGTCCCTCTCTCCAGAGTTAACGAACATGTAATGGCTGGGACAGAAGACCGTATACCAAGGGGCTGTGAGTGATTCTGGAACCAGCCACCCCGGAACTTTTATTCAGTTTGAAGTTTGGGATTGACTGAACTACAGGTGAGGGCTCTAGGAAACCTTGATGCCTCTCCTTCTCTTGCCACCCCCAGACTGGAGTCTCAGCGGAGGGTCCCCAGGGAGGGGCGCCCCGGGGGCAGGCTCACCGTCATCCCGTCGGTCATGAACAGGACCAGGGCAGCTGTGACGTGGATGGCGAAGAAGGAGTAAGGAGCTCCCCTGAAGTTCCTCCTCCGGCAGCAGCTGAACAGGTCCTCGTGCGCTGGATGAGACGAGAAGAGCAGGGCTGAGCCTCCAACCCGCCCCGTGCCTCTGCATGCCCAGGGGAAGCGGCTGGCGGCATGGAGGACCACCTACGGCCTCCTACCTTCTCTAGCTCCAACCAACCATCTGTTAGAATCAGCCCCTGGCCACCTCACAGTCCTGGTGGAAGCAAGGCTCAGAGAGGTCAAGTAACTTGCCCAAGGTCACACAGCAAGGTTGGAGTCAGAAGTCTGCCTCCCTGGTTCCCTCGGCCAGGCTGCTCCACCTCCTGCCTCATGAGGCCACTGGCACCAAGGTCCTTTTCCAGCCTCTATCGCCTGTGGCCTACGGTCACCCTCTGGGGGAGGGGTTACCGGAGGAGCCTCAGTGTGGGGCATGAAGGTCCGTGAGGGCCCCCACCTGGGTGTGACTGAACCTTTGGGGGCAGCGAGGAAGCGGCTTCCTTCTCGGGAGGCTGCGTCTCCAGGGCGAGCTCATCTGCAGACAGGAGCAGCGGCCTCCTCTGCGGGCAGCAGGTCAGCAGCCGCTCTTTGGACAGCAGATACAGCACAGCCATGGGCACCGGGAGCTGGGGGTGGTCAGAGGGTCAGGAGAGCCCCGTTCCCGCCAGGCTCCCCCCTTCCCACGCCTGGCCCCCTGCGTTCGCCCGCACGGTCGTGGGGCGCAGGTCTGTGCAGTCCTGGGAGAAGACAGCTCCTTTCCGAGGCTGCCCACCTAAGAGGCGCCCAGCGAACGCAGCCTCGACCCCACGCAGGCTTGGTGGAATTGCTGCCCAACTGGACTGCCTCTGTTTCCCTGAAGAGACAGGTACGTGTCACCCGCAAAGCACAGACTCGCACCGGGCCTCTGCTGGCCAGGAGAGGTGCCAGAGCGAAACGCGTTTCAAAGAAGTTCTGCTTTGGCTCATCTCGGCTCTATAAACCCTGCTGGGGGGATTATCATCCCCATTTTCCAGATGGGGCCAGTGAGGCTCAAAGTTATCACTTAGTCAGAACCCGTTAGAACTGGAAGAGACCGGAGAGGTGAGCTAGAGGCCCAGCGAGCATTAGCGCGGGTCACACAGCTGACTTCAGGCAGAGCAGGGCTGGCACCCGGGCACCCTGCTTCTGCCCAGTGCCCTCACCACCTCAGGAGCTGTCTGGGTGATGTTACACCCCAGGAGGCAGGGGGCTGTCCTCGGGGGCTTGGTGTCTAAATGGGAAAGAGACTCGGACTCCTTCTGATTTAAAAATGCCTGCTCCGAGCAACACACCCAAGCCCAGTGTTACGGGAGCCGCTTAGGCGTCACGAACTCCTAGAGCAGGGAGGACGGTCTCCTGTCTGAGCCCGGAGAAGCCTCTGCCACCTCCCTCGGGTGCCCTGCACGATCCAACCACCTGCTGCCAGGAGGGCCTCGTCCAGTCCGGCCTCTGCCCTTGCTGCCGCCTCCCACCCAGTTCCTCCTCTTAGGAAAGAGGAGGCTCTGAAAGTTTCCCCGAGGCCATGGGCTCCTCTGCCTGACGGAGGGTAGAGGGGAAGTGTGCCTGGGCAGCTGTGAGGGAGCCTCCCCAGCCTGCAGCCAGGCTGGCTTGCTCCAGCATTTTCCAAGCCACCTGCATGCCGCCAGCCTGTGCTGGCACGCCCTGCGGGCACCTTGGGAGCCTCCCTTCACCCTCAAAAATAAGTCCAAGGTCAGACTTTGCCTGGAGAGTGAGAGCCACCCATTGGGCCCGAATGGACGGAGACAGTTCCCGCCCTCAGGAGGCCAGGTCTGGGTGACAAAGCTCTCCCTTCGGTCCGATGCGGGAACAGGAAACCCACGCAAGGCCGCTGGTGCAGAAGGCCAATGCCGAGTGAGGGCCAAGGCACACGGCTGCGAAGGGGCCACTCAGGCGGGGCTTCCAGGGAGGCGGGTGGTGGGGAGACGGCACACCTGGCATTGCCACAGGCACACACTCCAGCTCCAGAAGAAGCCACCTTGAAAGTCAGAGAGTGCCAGGTGGGCTGTGTGTGTGTGTGTGTGCGTGTGTGTGTCTGTGCGCGCGTGCGCATGTGTATAAGTGTGTGTATGTGTGCATGTGTGTGCATATGTGTGTGCATGTGTGCGCGCGCATGTATATATAGGTGTGTGTGTGTGTGCACACCCACCCACCGTCACCCACATGCTCGCTTGCATGGCTCATTCTCTTCTGTGTGGGCTGTTTACCATCAGACACAAAGCGATGGAAAAAATATGGAAATCCTGCAGCCAACAAAGTGCCCCCAGCCTGCACCTTGGGGGGCAGGAGAAAGCGCCCCCAGCCTGCACCTGGGGGGCAGGAGAAAGCACCCCCAGCCTGCACCTTGGGGGGCAGGAGGAAGCCTGGGGCTTTTGTGGACCTTCCAGCCTCCTGGCCCCAGAGTCCCAGCTGACATGGCGCTGACACTGCTCCTTCCCTGGGCAGGGTCTCCTTGGACATCGTGGCCCAACACGGCCTGTTCCCAAGCAAGGATGGGCCGGCAGGAAAGGCAGGGAGCGGAGTGAGAGAGGAAGAGGGGGAGGTTCTGTTCTGGGGACAGAAAGTTACGAAGAAGGACAATGAGCAGTGGCTGCAGGCAGGAGGTTTGTGCTGAGAGTCGGGCTTCCAGCCCGGCCTGGCCTTTGCTGGCCCCCATCAGGGCATGAGCTGTGATGGTGAGACACCGCGGCTCAGAGGGACTGACCAGGTGGTCTCAAGAGCCCCTTTCAGTGCCACCTGCACAGCAGCACTCAGTCCCCACAGCAGCCGGGCAGCTGCCCGTCTTGCCTGAACCCAGCCGGCCCGCCTCTGGGGGTGACAAGTCTGCTGAGTGCGGGAGACGCTCTAAGTCAGAGTGACACGCGCACGGTGACTCCATCCCAGTCAGCAGGCCGGGGGCCACCGGAACACTCCGCACTCCCAGCCCCTGCTGGGCCCAGCCAGGGGGCCAGGGCCGCTCCTGACAGTCCTCCCAAGCAGGGCCAGAGGTTGGGGTGGGGGAGTCTCCCCACCTCTCCTTCTGCCCCAGCCCAGGCTACCATGGGGGAACCCGGCGTGGGTCACAGAGCAGCCGAGGAGGTGTCCAGCCAGAGACCAGAGTCTGTGCTGATGGGGAGGCTGTGAGCTGGGGGCTCAGGGGGCCTCAGTGCCTGACCCAGTCATGGTGAGGGAGTCAGCCTCCATTCAGGAGTGCGGAGAAGGGCCCAGCCTGGCCCGCAGCCTCCGGCCCAGGGTCACCTTTACCTGACGACTTGAAGGCGGCCCCGATTTCACCGGGGCAACCCTGTGCCCTGCTCTATCTCCCCGGAGAATTGCAGCCACAGGGTGCCACCCTGAAGGACTTGGAGGTGAGCTTCTGCAGCCTCCTTGTGCTCAAATAACTGGGGGTCAGCTCTCCCACCCGCTTGCTTTCCCGAGGGCACTCTCAGCCTCAACCAGTTTCTCAGAATCAGAAACATCTTCACCAGGAGCCGGGATGGATGGT